CTGCAGCCACTGGTGACCAACTCGTTTTCATATCTGTGGACGATCTACATAACTTACATGGCGAGTCGTGAGAAACCAACCGCTATTTCAAGCTGAAACACCTCTCTATTAACGCTGAAATTTCTCCGACATTCGATTATGTGGTTCAGAAAATGAAGAAAGTAAGCCCAAAAGCTTTACTTCAACATTCTTTGTTTCCCTCTCTGTAGATTTCAGAGAGTAAAATGTAAAAACTTTTGGAAGAAATATGCATTTGGACATGTATCAAAGTGTGTCTTACGTTACTAGGTTTGGGTTCCATGTAATATTTAGTGAAATGTAAGTTAGCTTCTAGCAACTTTGACCAGACAAATGAAATGTTCACACAAATCTTTTTTAAAAAAAATTCTTCTTTATTTGCCTTCATTATTAATTTTGTTACATCATCAGAGAGCAAACAAGAAGAGAAACAAATCAACTAAACACCTCTCTACTTGGATCTCACTCTACTATCAGAACTATTACAGCACTAAAGACACACTTTCTTCACTTCAAAGCTTCTTCCTCGATAAACTTTGAACCATCTCAACAACTTTTTCCAAACAAGAAAACTCCTCTTCACAAACCCAAATTCCAAGAAAGAAATTCAGGTTCAAGTATACTAAGTAAGTTCAATCAGATGATATGTATATAGCCTAAACTATGTCGTTTCTGCGAATTCTTTACTCGTCTGAAGCACGGGAACATATCTTCTCCATATGTATAGGCCAGTCTTCACCAAGAATCTGAGGATCCAACTCCATACCAGCACAAAAATCAGACATCGATACATATGAAAGCCTTCTGTGGTTTTGCTGTGTGTGCTGGTAATTCATCTCTCTCGCTCGTTTGTTCCCACATCGAGTATTAGCCAAACTCAAACAAGGTTCGAACAGTCTTCTCATAAACGCATCTAATCCGTTATTAAGAAGACTAACAGAGTCCATAGATATCTTCAGCCCTTCCATCTCCAATCTTTTCTCTAGCCGACTCCTCAAAGTTCTTGTATCGGGTAGTTCACCGCTGCTCTGACAACTCTCACGGTTGAAACTACTGCAAGATTTAGATACATTGGAGATAGACTTTCTAGTGATTCCGCTCCTAAGATTCATAGAAACACCGAGCGGAGCAGTGACAGGACTCCGGCTCTGGACACTTGGACTTCCTGCGATTTGTTCAACCTCTTCTCCTTCTTCCACAGATACAACTTCCACGGGAGGTCTACTTCCTAGAGAAAGCAGTTCAGTAGCACTTTGTGCCTTCGACATCGACTCCTCATTTGTTGTAGTTATACTCTGAGGCTTCCCAAGTGGACCAAGCGGACTCGGCCGGTCTCTAAACTTTCTCGACCTGCATTTCCGAGTCGAAGGAGAGAACGCAGAATCCGCATAATGCGGCTGAATCTGACTACTCTTTGAGTTCCCATGACCGAATCTACCAACAAAGTTCCCACCTTTCTTCGAATATCTCAAAGGTGGAGACTTGGCAACACTAGCGTTCTTAATGATGGAACGAATGAGACGGTTATGAAGAGGAATGTTTTGCCTACCAATCGTCTTGATACAGAACTTGTCGAATTCAGACTTTGTGATCCTTAAGGCAAAGAATCTTCCAAGCTGATCAAAGTAACTCTCAGCTCTTTGATTCCCGATTTCTCGAAAAATGAGAGCTTTAATCTCTAATGTATCCGACCGTGAAAACCCTTGATCTGATCCCATCGTAAAACCCTAAAAAAAATTCTGTTTTGAACTAAAACCACATTCGAATGTTCCTTCAATTCAAGATCTGTTCCTGACCAAAAAACCTAAAACCCCCAATTTCTCGACACATTCCTGAAACAAAAAAAAAAACCAGATTTGGAGAAACGAATCAAGCAAGTATATCGAAATTCGGACAATTCGAAGTGAAGTGAATAAGTAAAGTTGGAACTAAGAAATCAAGCATCGCAATTTCGGGAAAAACAGAGAGAAACCAAAGTTGAAATCAGCGAGAGGTGTAATTTCGCGAAGAAAAACAATGAGTCAGTCGAATCTAAAAAAAAATTGGAAAGAGAGATTGAGAATCGAAGAAACTAACCGAGTAAAAGAGATCTCTTGAAAGACTTCCCCTTTGTGCCCTAAAGGCCAAAAGGGAT